AGCATTTGTTGAACTTTTATAATAAAACATGTGTTCAGTATCCAGAATGTATTTGAACTTACATGGAATTTAATTTAAAAAGGCTTTAAAATCCTGTTAAATCATTTGTTGACAGCAGGACAATGCTGTACTTCAGTGGTCCTATAGCCTGGCTGAACATTTGAGACATTTTAAAACCTCAGGCTTGGGGCCAGCAGATGGTATAGTGGTTAAAGGCACTGGATTCCCATATGGCCAACTGTGGTTCAAGTCCCGGACCTGGCAGCTTGCTTTCTCACTTTCCCTTTCTACCTCTCTGGTCAAATAAAAAAAATAACAAATGGAATTAAATAATTCTTTAAAAATAAATAAATAAAACTTCAGGCTGCCCCAACAGCACTCAGACCAATGAGATCAGAACCTGTAGGATGAGGAATTTAAAAACCACTGATTGACAAAAAAGAATGAAAAGCTATTTGCTGATGATAATGTATGTAGTAATGTTTTTATCTTGACTGATATGCATGGTATAACTGCTGGAAAAAAGCAGTGTTGTACACTGTAAAGATAAATGTGATTAAATGTAAAACAAAATAAAAATAAAAAGATCACCACAATGTATAGTCCCTTGACCTTGAACCTCCAAAGTTATGAGCTAAATAAACCTCTATTTACTGAGAAAAATTCTTTTATAAAAAAAAAATTGAGGGACCAGCAGTTAGCATAATGGCTATGTCGCTGGACTCCCATGTAGTTGACCGCGGTTCGAGTCCTGGGCCCAGTGACTTAAACTCATGCTGGGCGCGTGTGTGTGCATGCCCAAGATCCCGAGAGGAGAATGGAGGAGAAGGGATTGCGGCGTGGCCATCCCCCCTGGGGGGTGATTTCTCGCCTTGTCTCTCTCTCTCTCTGTCTGGCGAGTGCATGCGCCCTATAGCAAAAACCTCTCAAAAAATAAATTGATAGTGGTGCTATGATTCCACTGGTGTTTCCCATATGTAAACAAGGATGAGAGAACCACTGGTCTCAGAAATCATGTAATTTCTCACCATTTTACAATCCAAAAAGGTAGACAGTGTTGGCAAGTCAATAAGCTGACTTTGTAACTTTATAAAACTGAAGAGTGCAACACCTTCAGTTTTCTTTAACAGTGTTCTTAAAATTCATGATCCCTTGGGGCCAGCAGGTGGCATAGGAGTTAAGTAAGGTGCTGAATCCCACATGGCCAGCTGCATAGATCAAAATCTGAGAGGTAACTGGAGTGGGGATCTGATTACCCAGAAATCACACTGGACTTCAACACAGAGAGATGAAGCTGGTAATTTGGTGGCGGGAGCAGAGAGGGCAACAATCTAGTTTTCCTACAGGGTCCCCAACTGGCCCCAAGTGAGTTTCCCTCAGAAAAGAAACAGTTCTCCCCAAAACACTGATGCTACCCAGAAATTTCAAATCCATTCTTAATAACATTTTTTCAAGCAGAGATTTATTGTAATTTCTTGAACTGTACAAATAAGAGCCCAACTATTGGTTATGCCCATATTTCTGGCAAATGTCAAACAACAGCTAATCACACATTCACTCTGCCTTTCAAATCCCCAAACAGCCACCCCTGGTGCACCTTTGCAGAATCCAGACCTCCAACGTGAATCCAGTAGACAAACTGCCCAGATCCAGGAGCAAACAGGGGCAGTAGGAGTAGCTTCCCACTGTGCTATTAACCTCCTCCCAGGCTGAGACAAATCAGAGCAAGCATGTTATCAGAATGACAATGGCACTCATTGGCAATGAGGATACAGAGCCCTAGGGCAACTGAAAACATTGGGGATCCAGCTGTCAGAAAGTTGCCTCTGGATCCCTCTCCCCTCACTGACTCTGGGATGAACTTCAGAAAGGAGAAGCAGTAGCCAAGTCCAAGTACCATTTATACATAGTGACATCAAGGAAGGTGTGCTGGGTCAAATGATGGTCCACAGGGTGAGGACTCAGGACAGAGCCAGAGCCACGGTGTGGCCTGGGCTTGGAAGCCCCAAATGCGGGGGACCAGCAGATGGTGTAATGGTGTAATGGTTACATCGACTGTGGTTTGAGTCTCAGACACAGCTGCTTCAAACTCACGCTGGGAGCATTTGGATGTGTGATAGTGTTTGCATGTGTGCCCAAAAATCCCAAGGAGACTGGAGAAGAGATTGTGGTGTGGCCATCCTCTCTAAAGGGTGAGTTCTTTTCTTTTTTGCCCTACAGCAAAAATCTCGCTGGAAAAAAAAAAAAAAGACCTAAACCTCGTGTTAACAGGTCACAGGGGTGCCAAACCTGAACATATTCAAAGCCCAATTTCTCTAACGTAACACAACACTCAATCTCTCCATCACCCTCCATTCACCCCCCCTCCAACACTAAAAAGGAGGCCCAGCGCATTACTGGGTCCTGGAGAATGCATGCCTTGTTAAACAGGCCTCCCTAGTAAAGTAAAGGGTGTATTCAAAGTTGCAGCTGCCTGGCCCATTTATCATCTTGGTTTCCATGAAAGCAGTGGCACCTGTGAGGGGAACCTATCTTCCACATCACTACCTAAAGTCAAGTGGCACAGTCCAGGGACCCATGAATCAGGAAAACCAGCTTTAAAGAGTCCTTTATCTTTGAGAGATACATACTGAAATAGAATACTTCAGTTTTTCACAATAATTAGCAAAACAAGCATAGCTATAAGTAGATGATTGTTGTAGGTGGATAACTGATACATGGGGGAGGCCGTCACTACAGTACATTCTCTACTTTTATGTTTGAAAGTTTACATAATAAGTAATAAGTCCTTGCAGAAAAATATGAAGCCGAGAAACTCATAACATTATGATTTGGAGATGATTCATACATATTGCAAGTAAAATAACTTACATTATCATAATGTAATGAGAAAAATGCAAATAGGTGAATTCTGTAAAGTTCAACACTGGTAGTTTTAATTTTCAAAAACAATAAATACATCATTCCAAAGATAGGTTAAAGGCAACCATTTAAAATGTATGGCCTCAGAAACACATACTCACAAGAGATCATATACAAGTTAAAATTTCCATGTAAACTAACTTTCAATACTGAGTTTTCTCCCCATGTTTGTATATTAGATAAATACTCAGCACCTATTAAGTGCTAAGTCCTGGGAGTATGAGGGCACTTCCAAGAGTTTGTGGGAAATGGAATTAAAGTCGATTTACTTTGCAAGTAAAATAACTTACTTGATCATAATGTAATGAGAAAAATGCAAATAGGTGAATTCTGTAAAGTTCAACACTGGTAGTTTTAATTTTCAAAATCAATAAATACATCATTCCAAAGATAGGTTAAAGGCAACCATTTAAAATGTATGGCCTCAGAAACACATACTCACAAGAGATCATATACAAGTTAAAATTTCCATGTAAACTAACTTTCAATACTGAGTTTTCTCCCCATGTTTGTATATTAGATAAATACTCAGCACCTATTAAGTGCTAAGTCCTGGGAGTATGAGGGCACTTCCAAGAGTTTGTGGGAAATGGAATTAAAGTCGATTTACTTTGATGCAAAAATATTTGAAATCCATGCATAGTTTCTTTCATAATATGTATTTTCCACGAGTTTATCCAATTGCCAGTGTATGCATGTACATGCACATGCCAGACAGAGCAGGAGAGAGCACCTCATACAGGGTATGGTCATGCTGCGATCCCTTCTCCATTTCCCCACCCTGTCAAGATTTGGGGCATGCATGCACATGAGTCTAAATGTTCTCCAAGCTGCTGGGGCCAAGACTCTAACAACAGTTGGCCATGTGGAATTCAGCTTCCTTAACTCCTAGGCCATGGGGCTGGTCTTTCATGAACTTTTTGAAGGCCCTATATATAACTGTGAAGAAGACAAAAGCCTTGCCCTCTGGAAGCTTCAAACTTATTTTGTGTGGTAAGTTAATTTTGATTTCTGTAATGTGTTAATATGATTAGTGGTTCTTCACCTTAATATCTTAATTATACTTAAAGAGTAATGAGCAATATAAGATGCAGTGTGTTTTTCAGAAATATGCATTGTTGTTCAGTTGTACTGTACTTTGTTTGAAAGGATGAAGGAATGAACTATCTTTTTTCCCCTAAAAAAAAAAAGGATCACAGCATGACCACACCCTGTTTGAGGTGCTCTCTCCTGCCGTCTCTGTCTGGCATGTGCATGTACATGCATATACTGGCAATTGGATAAACTCATGGAAGCTGATATTCTAGTTGGGGCTGTGGACATGGTAACAGGTCATTAAAGCAAAATGAGCTAAGATGTTAAGAAGCATTCTAAGAGTTGAGGTCATCATGAGACAGCAGATCATACTTGATGGAAATAATTTATTTCAAGATAGTGCTATCACTATCTTTCCCAATCCTGAATGCCTGGAGTGTTACTTAAAAATCCTGACTTAAATGTTGTATTTTATTCTAACTGGTTCTTCAAAAAGTTCATGGAAAAGATGTATTATGAAGTAACTATGTATGGATTTCATATCTTTTTTGGGTTCCAGAATAAACTTGTAGTTTAACCCCATTTCCAGGAATATTTTTAAGTCCTTTCACAAAATTGGCACAGAGGCAGTATGGTTACCCCTAAGGTTTTGACAAGAAGTGAAGAATACTTCACATTTCCAAGCTTAAAACCTTTTCTATGAAATGAAAATCCAAAAGCTTCTTCCCTTGCCTGCCTAAATCACTTGTATTACTATAAACACACCCTTTGGAAAAGACCTTTATGGTAGAAAACATGAGTGGACAACATCTTTGCACTCTTAAGTGACTCATGAAGTCTGACCACCCAACATGGTATTTCTAGTGTTGATTTCCCTAAAGACTCCCCCACAAATACAATGTCTTTCACACAAGTGTGTTCTGTGTTATTAACTGCAGTATTTACACTGCCTTTTTCATTAGGATAATCATAGCAGGTATAAATAGCTCTTTGTGTAATCTAAAACCAAACTGAAAAAGAAAGTAGACACCAAGATACCAAAATCGTTCATGCTTAAAGGCAAATGTATTCCATTCCTTTCCAAGCAGCACATTAAACAGTTATCTATGTGCTCCTTTCTCACTCATCCTCCATGGCGAGCCATCTTGCAACATGTTCTGGAAAGTGTCTCATGTAGGAGGGAAAGGAACATTCTTGCTGACCTACAGACTGGCCACATGGGGAGCAGTGTACTGGGAGGAGAGCTACCATCTACTGTTTCTTCCATCGCCGTCAATGATGTCTACAGAAGCCATTCAGATCTGCCACGGCAAGGAGGAAGGCACGGGAGAAGAGGAAGAGTGACTCAACGTCCTATAGTGGAGCGTGGAGACTGCTGGCTGGGAAAACCAGGAACAATGGAAGTAGAGTCATTATCCTTAGGATGCCATGCCAAGCAGAAAGCCTCCGAAAAATCCCCCAGTCACTAGAACATTCTTCTTGACAAAGGACACCACCTGGAGACAGAAGATGACAAAATGAGTTACTCTGCTACTGATGTGAATGTTAGGAATCAGCTCTATGCCAGTCCCACTACATCAATCTCCTGACTGTAAAGTGGTTTGTACTTTACCCCAAGGGCAAAAGGAGCCATGGACTGACATATGAATGTGATCACTGGCTGCTGCAAGGAGCCCAGCAGGAAGCAGGACACAGACCAGGAAGGGACACAATGGGTCTCTGAGTCAGGGTGGTGACACAGGTGCTAGTGTACAGAGATGGACTTCAAGATGTTTTCAATCCAGGCCTCTGTGAGTGGATGGGCAAGCCAAAAGTAAAATAAAAAGGAGATAGAGGCCTAGGGCAATTCCTACCAAGGGAGCTAGAAGGATGCCTGGGAGTTCAGATGGGGAGAGGGAGGCCAGAGACCCTGGAAGCTGGTACAGAAGTATTGTGCTCCCTCTCTTCTTTGGCACCTATGCTCCAATGGCAGCTGCTCATCATCTGAAGAATCTTCCCTGAGTCTTTCCAACTGTCTACCTACCCCACCTGTCTGCCCATCCATCCATTATCTCCTAAAATCTCTCAAGTAGACATTAAGAACTGTCACTGTCACGTTTCACCACATCCAAGAATGACTAACAGGCAAGGTCCTCATTTTCTTACTCCCAACTTCAACTATAAAAGCCCCTGCTCATCTGAGGCTACTTTGTCTGTGCTCCTGACCACTTCTCCAGCCTATATACTAACAAGAGAATTTTGGTAAGTGGCTCAGACTTCCTCTTTCTCAGCTACCACCTTAGAAAGTACTCAGATGAATGCCACACCCAGCATCCTGGTCTGACCATGTCCTGAAGTCAAGTATAGGCACATTCCCTAACATTCAACCCCGCATTTCTCACTCCCTGGACCACAGCCTCCTAACCTTCCAGTGTCCCTTACTCTTGCCACGTTCACATGCTACCTCTTTTCTACTCTTCCTCCTAAGTCCCTCTGACTGCCACATTTCCCTAAACAAAGCACTGTCTTTTGCCATGTGCCATCAGGAAGACAGAAAAATCAACCATATAACTTCCTGCAATATGTGCTTTCATTTATGGTTACTTCCCTACTTCCTACTCATTCCTCTTCTTGCTATACTTGGCTTTTAACTCTCCTACCCCAGGAAAACTGCTCTCATTAAAGTCACCTAGTTGCTGAACACTGCACTCATTGTCATCTCCAGCCTCAAATCAGACCGCAGGCTCTATGAGTGGGGGAACCAGCCACCATACCCCTTGAGCCCATGGCAGTACCAGCCATAAACAGGAACACAAGTTCTCCTGTGAGTCAAGAGCTGGTTCTAATCAAACCCTAACCTTGTACTTTTTTTTTTTGAGCTTTTTTTGCTATAAGGTGCGTGTGCTCGCCAGAAAGAGAGAGAGAGACAAAGAGACAGAAAGTGAGAAATCATCCCCCAGGGGAGATGGCCACGCCACAATCCCTTCTCCTCCATTCTCCTCTCGGGATCTTGGGCACGCATGCACATGCGCCCGGCGTGAGCTTAAACCACTGGGTCCAGGACTTGAACCATGATTTACTACATGTGACATAGCCATTATGCCATCTGCTGGTCCCCTAGTTTTTATTATATACACTTCTGGTAGTATTTAGAAGTTCTTGGGACCAGGAGATGGTGTAATGGTTATGTCGCTGGACTCTCATGTAGTCAACTAAGGTTCAAGTCCCAGATCCAGTGGCCTAAAACGCAGTGGGCCCAATCCCAAGAGGACAATGGAGAAGGTATTGCAGCATGGTCATCCCTCCTGGAGGGTGACGGGTGACTTCTCACTGTCATTCTCTCTCTCTCTCTTCAGTGAGCACACATGTCCTATAGCAAAAATATCTCTTAAAAAAATCTCAGCAGTCATGTATTGCTTTCAGACATATTCACATAAGGTTTAGCAAAATAAAAAATGTAACTTCCATAACAGACTGAGGAGGGCAGATGAATGGAGAGAAAGAAGGAAAGGACCAGCTTGTTCCCATCCTACAGACACCTGCGCTGGGTAGAGGCACCAGCTCTGGGCAATCCCTATTCCCACATGGAGACTGTCATCGGTACCTAATGATGCTGGGCCATCTTTTCAGTATTTTTCCACTCTGTTAAGCCATTTACTACTCAACAAATCTGCTCTCTAATCTTCAGAAAGTTGCTGGCATCTATTGGTATTCCTCTCCTGTTTTCTGTCTCTGTGAATTTAACCTTTTTATTTTGTTCTGTCATTCAGAAATATTTCAGGAGGAAGTGGAAGATAAATCTGCCATGTTTAACCCAAGCATCTCATCTTCCACCACCTATTCTATATGATTGTGTAACCTTTTCCTGTCACTGCTACTAGAGTATGACAATCTGACCCTAGTTTATGTCTCTGTAACTAGTCCACTTATTTCTTTGACATTCTTGACATGTTTATATAATTAATAAAGAAGTAGCAAAATACATCCTTTTTAAAAAGGGAAGACTTCTCGGGACCAGCAGTTAGCAAAATGGCTATGTCACTGGACTCCCACGTAGTCGACCGCAGTTCGAGTCCCGAACCCAGTGGCTTAAACTCACGCTGGGCACATGTGCGTGTGTGCCCAAGATCCCGAGAGGAGAATGGAGGGGAAGGGATTGTGGTGTGGTCATCCCCCTCAGGGAGTGAGTTCTCACTTTCTGCCTCTCTGTCTCTCTCTGTCTTTCTGGCAAGCGCATATGCCCAATAGCAGGAAAAAAAAAAAAAAAAAAAAAAAAAAAAAAAAAAACCCCAAAAGGGAAGACTCCCCCTGACCTCCCAGCCAAGGCTAGGAGCCTAGCCTGGTTTGGTTACATGTACTAGACCAGGGGATAGCAAGCTATAGTCCAACAGCCAAATCCAGCTGGCCATTTGTTTTAATGCAACAAAGACTCACTTGTTTACATATAACCTATGGCTATTTTCACACTGCACAGTAGAGTAGCTGTGACAGAGACCATATGCCCAACAGGGCTAAAAATATGTACCATCTGACCCTTTATAGAACGAGTTTGTCAACCCCTGGATGAGGAATTTTCACTAATTAGTAGAGAACAGCAGAGTATGGATGTTTCAAAGATACGCGCACACAGAAACAAAACAGAACTGAACATACTCATCCTGACAGCAAGAATAGGTTAAAGGGATAATCAATCCATAAATGTACACAGACAAAGGTCACCACACACTTCGATTATCTGCCTTTAAAAAGTGCCTCTGCCCCACTGTCTCCCAGAGTTTCCCCAGTGTTTTTCAGGAGCAGTTTTATAGTTTGAGATCTTAGATTTAGATCTTTGATCCACCTTGACTTGATTTCTGTCAGAGGTGAGAGATAGGGGTTCAGATTCATCTTTTTGCAAGTGGAAATGCAGTTTTTCAAGGAAAAACATTTAGAAGAAAAATAGGGAGGCAAAACATTAATGGCACAAAGAAATGTGGTATTATCTGTTGAAGATATTTTGTAGTTTTATTAGCTGTACTAGGGAGAAATATTCACCTGTTGAAATATCCATTTTGTAAGCCAAATAATAATGTGATTGAATGTATAAAAGAAAATGAAGGACCAGCAGTTAGCGTAATGGCTATGTCGTTGGACTCCCACATAGTCAACCGCAGTTCACATCCCAGACCCGGTGGCTTAAAACACGCCAGGCACATGTGTGCGCATGCCCAAGATCCCGAGAGGAGAATGGAGGAAAAGGGATTGCGGCGTGACCATCCCCCCAGGGGGGTGATTTCTCGCTTTCTGTCTCTCTCTGTCTGTCCAGCGAGCGCACGCGCCCTATAGTGAAAACCTCTCCAAAAAAATAAAAAAGAAAATGAAATGAAAAAAAAAAAAAAAAGCCTCTGCAGCGAAGATATTCCAGCTAAGGCCACCTATAATGTAGAGATTTTGGCTTATTAATTCAAGTTCTTTGTATCTTTATGCCTTGGCCATCACGGAAATATCAAAATCTACACCTCTCCCACACAGGCAAACAAAACAAGCCTCACCTCCTCAGCCTTGCTCTTGACTTCTGTCGGTATCTGGTTGCTCTTACGGATCTTCAGCTGCTCTTTGGCTTTCTTCATGTCCTTCTCCACTCGCTGCCAGTCCACTTTGATGTACCCAGTATGGTTTGCAAGCTACAATTTCAACAACAATGACAAGAAATAAGAAATTTAGACTTGGTATGTCTTTCTGTCATGCTGAATCATGAAGCAGACTGTCAAAACCCTTCTGAGGACCAACAGATGGTGTAGCAGTTATATCAATGTACTCTCATATTGCCAACGGCAGTTCAAGTCCCAGACCCGCTGGCTTGAAATTCACAACAGGCACGTGTGTATATGTGCCCAAGATCCAAGGAGGAGAGGAGAGAAGGGACTGTGGCATGGCCATCTCCCCCTAGAGGTGATTTCTCACTTTCCTTCTCACTGTCTCTCTCCCTCCAGCAAAAGGCGCCTGTAAAAAAAAAAAAAAAAAAAAACACCCTCTTAAAAAAAAAAAGAAACCCTTCTGACTTTCCATTTCTGGAGACGTCTGCCATTGGGTTCTCTGTATGGCAATGATATCCAGCCTGTATGTGAGGCCAGGAAACTGGATCCCTATGTCAAACTAGAATTCTGATTCCCAACAGCATGCTAGTTCCCTACCCTCAAGGACGGACTGCCTCTGTCCCACCTGCCCTGTCCTCCTTGAATGTCAGACCCACCCTACATCAGAACCCCATTCTGAGCATCTTTCCTGGAGACACTTCTAGAACAATCTCCAGTCAGTCAGGGGCCCCAAAAGAAAGAGGCATTTGAAAACAATATGAAAGTATTATGAAGTATGGGTCAGAGTAGAGGGAGACCACAGGTGCACTTCCACCTGAAGGGACAAGGACAGAGGCACAAGGAGGGACCCCACCTGACAGGAATATGTCTTTTTGTCCCCACATTATAAAGAAAATAAAATGTGACTTGTAATTGATAAAGTTGGACTCAAATAATCACTGGCATATAAAATAGTCTATGAAACAAGTACAAAAGCTACTGCAGTGTAATGTCACCAGGACTATATCCCAACTCCCCATGCCACACTCTTTAATGGACCAATGAAATCTCCAAACATGTAGGGACATTTCACATATAGACCTACCTGAAGGAGAAAAAATCCACCTCCTACAGCAGTTGCAGCCAACTTCCCAACCTTCTGGAATATGAAACCCGTGCACCTACAAAAACCAAAGCAATATCAGACAAGTGGTGAGACAGTGGGCTGAGATGCATGCAAATGCACACTGCTGACATGTTTACCTTCAGAAAACACAGTCTTTCTTCCCACTACACAAAAGCCTGCCCATCTTGGGGCTGGAAACCAGAGAACAAACCTCAACTCTACCGCTTCCTGATGTTGTGGTCTTGAGCAAGTCCCTTAAAACTTCTTGGTGATTATACATATATACATACACATATACATATATATTTTTTTTTCCAGAAGGATTTTTGTTACAGGGTACATGCACTCATTTGAGAGACAGAGAGAGAGAAAGTGAGAAATAACCCCCCAGGAGGGACGATGTGCATGCACACACATGCACCTGGCTTGAGTTTCAAGCTACCAGGTCCAGGACTCAAACCATAGTCAGCCATGTTGGAGTCTTATCACCTTAACCACTATGTCACCTGCTGCCCCTGCCCCGTGATATTTTTAAAAGATGACTTTTGGGGGCCAGCAGGTGGTGTGGTGGTTAAGGCGCTGAACTTCCACATGGCCAATTGCAGTTCGAGTCCCGGTCCTGGTGGCCTGCCTTCTCACTTTCCCTTTCTGTCTCTCTCTGGTCAAATTTTTAAAAAAATAATAATAATAGTAATAATGAATAAAATTAAACATAATATAAAAAAAATGACTTTGGCCACACTGTGGAGAATGCATTAAAGAGGGAGAACAAAGGCAAAGCCTCCAGTTAGGAGGCTGAAGTAGCAGTGCAGAAAGGAAAGCTGGTGGACAGAGTTGACAAGGAGGAAGCAAATTCACAAAACATTCCTGAGTTTGAAGATGGAGTGGTTACAGGGGTAAGTCATTGTCCTCAATAACTAGGTAGGACAGCTGGTGGCATTTTTAATACAAAAACAAGGAAGAGGAAAAGGTAAGGGAGGGGAGAGATGATAATGCTAGTTTGCATAAGTTGAATGTGAAATGTCCCCATGATATCAAACTTACTACATGTGCTGACCAGTTCAATATCATCATTTGATTGAGTTTTTTGTTGTCTATCTCCCTACTCCCCCACCCTATGATAAGCTTCATGAAGGCAGATATTTGAGATATTTTATTTTGTTCACTGCTATACATAAATAGGCTGTAATTACTGACCACTGTTGAGAAGGTCCCTTCTAAACTCTAAGCCTTTTCCAGTCACCTTTCTTCTTTTCTACTCCCCTTTGTCGCGTTTCCCTGATTAGTCAAGTTGAGCACCTTGTCACATACTTCTTGGTCATTCCTATGTCTTTTTTGGAGAAATTTCTGTCAAAGTCCTTTTCCCATTTTAAAAAAGTTTTATTTATCTTATTCATGATAGAGAACAAAATAGCAAGATGTATTCTTTTTTTTTTTTGGAGAGGTTTTCGCTATAGGGCGCGTGTGCTCGCCAGACAGACAGAGAGAGACACAGAGACAGAAAGACAGAAAGTGAGAAACCACCCCCCCGGGGGGATGGCCACGCCGCAATCCCTTCTCCTCCATTCTCCTCTCGGGATCTTGGGCACACACACACACACGCCCGGCGTGAGTTCTAAGCCACCGGGTCCGGGACGCGATCCGCGGTCGACTACGTGGGAGTCCAGCGACACAGCCATTATGCTAACTGCTGGTTCCCGCAAGATGTATTCTTGACAAGATCTCCGTCATGCTGTGATCCCAGACCCCAGCCCTCCAGCTGCTCAGGATCGTGGGTGCAACTGACATGTTTTCAGACCAACCCAGGGATCTGAGCCTGTGACTGGCTACGCAGTCCCCAGCACTGCAGTTCAGTTTGCTACCTACCATGCCATCAGGCTGGGCCCCTTTCCTATTTCTTAATCCAATTTTGTTCTTGTACCTTCTCCTAAAAATCTTTTTGCTCTGGAATACCACGCTCTGCTGATTCCTCAACAATCACTGACTGTTCCTTCTCAGACTTATTTTTGCCGATTCCTCGTCTTCCTGAATCTAAACATTAGATTGCCCCAAGGATCAGTCCCAGGACCTCACTGCTCTGTGTACTCACTTTCTAGAACCTCTGATAAAGATTCTGGCCACAGTTTTTCACCTGGTCTCACTACCTTGACTTTTATGAACTAGAATCAATTCTCATGGAGAAGTCCATATATTCCTTCTACAACAGGGATTGGTAAACCATAGCCTGGGACCCAGATAAAGCCCACGGTCTCTTTTTTAAGCAAGTTTTACAGAAACAATCATGGCAGTTCACTTGCATATCATCTATGGTTGCTTTTGGACTACAATAGCAGAGGCAAGTGGCTGTGGCAGAGACTAGGTGATCTGCAAATCTAAAATACTTCCCTTACAGTTCTTCATGGAAACATTTTGCCCACCCCTGTTCTAAAAGGTAAGGTTATCTCACCCTAGGAGAGAGGGTTAAAGCCCTGAGAAAGGCCTGCATTTGACATCTCATCACTTCAAGAGATATATAGAAAGAGATATAAACTGAGGAAGCATCCCTGAGGGGGGATGGCCACACTGTAATCCCTTCTTCATGCTCCTCTCAGGATTCTGGGCAGGGACACACTTGCTTGGTGTGTTTTTCAAGTTACTGGGTCCGGGACTCCAACCCAATGTCAGACATGTGGGATACAGCTGCCTTAACCAGCATGCCATTGGCTGGTTCCACACTCAGGTTAAATTCTTAAATCCTATCATAAGTTGAAGGTAATGTCCTTGTACCTTGAATCTACTGGCCTCGGTTCCTTATGCATAGCCACTGACTGATACTTTTCAAGTAAGATTGTTTAACCAGTGGTAAGTGCAACCAATCAAATCATTACCTAGTCCTTGTTTCTCTTGTCTTTTTTCAAAACCTGAAAGTCATGGATAAAAATTTTTTTCCTCTTTCAAAGACACAGAGAAATTTGAAGGAAAAAAAAGTATATATAAAACTCCAGTCATTTTTTTCAGTCCCTTTTATCTTTAAAATTAGTTCTAATTAAGGTGTTAATACACACACTTTTAATAAACTCCCAGGGCGGGGACCAGCAGATGGTGTTACATCCCTGGACTTCCACATAGTTGACTGTGTTTTGAGCCTGGACCCAGCAACTTAAAACTCATGTGTACATGCATGCCCAAGATCTTGAGAGGAGAATGGAGGAGAAGAGACTGTGGCATGGCCATCCCCCCTGGCAGGTGATTTCTTGCTTTCTGTCTCTCTATCTCTGTCTCTCTGGCAAGAGCACGTGCCTTGTAACAAAAATCTTTCTGGGGAAAGAAAAAAACTCCCAGGGCTAGCTTGGTGATGCAATTGCAATGTGCTGTTCAAGCAAGGGTGGATCCATATGGAAAATCATAGGTTAGGATCCTTGGCAGACCTGTACATACTAGGCAGGTACCTAGGATCTTGGCTGGCTGAGAAGGCTGCAGGCAGTGGGGATGATGGGGACTATACTCAAGGTGACCTAACCTAAGATTTTCCACATGGATCCAGCTTTGTGTGAACAGCGCATTACAACTGTGTCACCAAGCTAACCCTGGGAGTTTTTTTTGTAGGTGCAAGGGTTTCATATTCCAGAAGGTTGGGAAGTTGGCTGCAATTGCTGTAAGAGGTAGATTTTTTTCTCTTTCAGGTAGGTCTGTATGTGAAATATCCCTACATGTTTGGAGATTTCACTGGTCCATTAAAGAGTGTGGCATGGGGAGTTGGGATATAGTCCTGGTGACATTACACTGCAGTAGCTTTTGTACTTGTTTCATAGACTATTTTATATGCCAGTGATTATTTGAGTCCAACTTTATCAATTACAAGTCACATTTTATTTTCTTTATAATGTGGGGACAAAAAGACATATTCCTGTCAGGTGGGGTCCCTCCTTGTGCCTCTGTCCTTGTCCCTTCAGGTGGAAGTGCACCTGTGGTCTCCCTCTACCCTGACCCATATTGCATAATACTTTCATATTGCTGCTGGCGGGGGAGGTGCCCCCAAACATGGGAGAAATTAATTTTGGTAAAAAAAAAAAAAGAGAAAGTGAGAAGACAACTTACAGAACAGAAGAAAGTATTTGCAAATGTCATGTCTGACAACAGTCTAATATCCAGAATAAAAGGTGACTTCAAAAAGTTTGTAGTAAAATGGATTTAAAAATACAAGTTTATTTTGATGCAAACCTTTCAAAAGATTTTGAAATCTATGCAGTTTTTTCATAATATGTATTTTCTATAAACTCTGTAAAGAACCCTTATATAAAACGGACCCTTAGAACTCAACAACAGGGGCGAGCACATGGCCAATTGCAGTTCAAGTCCTGAACCTGAGAGCCTGCTTTCTCATTTTCTCTCTTCCTCTCTCTCTCTCTCTCTCTCCCTCTTTATGTGTGTGTGTGTGTGTGTGTGTGTGTGTGTGTGTATCTGGTCAGCACACATGTGCTATAGCAAATTAAAATAATAAAAATAAAAAAGAACTCAACAACAAAAAGATAAAAATTGGCAAAGGACTTGAATAGAGATCTCCAAACGACCAACAAGCACATGAAAAGATGTTTGACATCATTAATCATTGTACAAATTAAAACTATAATGACATATCATTCAGTCACTAGGATGGTCTTTAAAAACAAACAAAAAATGGAAAAATAACACATTTTGGCAACATGCAGAAGACTGGAACACTCATACACCAACGATGTGACTGTAAAGGGGTAGCCACTGTGGAAAACAGTTAGGTGGCTCCTCAAAAAGATAAACATAGAATTATCATTTAACCTAGCAATTCCACTCCTAGGTATTTACCAAGGTAGATCTGAGAACAGGTACTCAAATACCTGTGCACAACTATTCACAGAAATATTCACAACAGTCAAAAGATAGAAATAACCTAAATGTTGACCAACAGACAAATGGATGAACAAATTGTGGTATACACATACACTGGAATACTATCAATAGTACTGATATACCATGGATGAAGCTCAAAAGGATTATATTATGGTAAATGAAAGAAGCCAGATACGAAAGGTCACATAT